AGTTCTTCTAAAAAGTTGTTGGACTCTCGTTGAATGCAATAATTGTTAAGTTGTGGAGCCTAATTACTGTCACAGTGTGATGGAATCAGTTCGCGAACAAGAACGTAGTCTCATATTGATGTGAACTTCTATAAACTTGCATGTTTTTTTTTTTCTCGATTTTATTGTTTTTGATGATATAGAATCCGGGTTTTCAATTCTCAATAATTAGCTTTGCTTGGGACACCATACTTGCTTAGTCGGCTCATGCAGATCCCCCTTGGCCTCGTATGAACCGAGCTCTCATATATTATCGAGGAAATGCAAGATGAACTTCACGGCAAGCCTAATCAACTTCGGTTCGACTAACTTGGACAAAATCAATTATTTGTTGGGTCATCCAAATGAGTCCTATTTGTCTGTGTCTTTGCCACCTTAGATATTGACAAAACAGTAAAGTTGGCATATTATGCAGAATTGTGCAGCCGCCCATGATACTCTTGACTACAAACACGACTTTAAACTATCACAGATGATTGAGAATAAAAACGTGCTTGTGATTCAATAATTGGACACACACATACAAATATATAGAGTAGGGAAGGAATATAAAACTCCACTGCATCAACATATCAGGACAGACATATAGAACCAACAATGAAATAGTTCAAATCTTGGAAGCACCAGATACATATTCAAATGTTTATATATAAAATGATTGGACTTATTTACCTAAAAATGAAGACTTTCCTAACCTTTTGGGTGCAGGCACAAACACATTTGTCGATCGAGTGCTAAAAGGGTGCTCTCTTTTTATTTTTATTTTTTTCCCAAATAAGTCGAGCATTTGATAACTCCATTCTTGAAAATACAGAATGAGGCTTCGATAAGGACAACAAGTGTAAAGCATATATCTTATTCGATATATCAAACACATCCTCTATATATATTCTCTCTTCGCATTATGTTATCATTTTGGCTTTAAAAAGTATAAAGACTAAAACCATATTAATTCACAATAATATTATTTACTTAATTCACCCTATTTAGTACTTAATTTCTTATACACTCTTAATCACATGTTAAGAATGTACACTTTGTGTATATTCTCCCTCTGTCCTATTATGTTGGTTTAAGAAATTATAAAGACTAAATCGTATTAATCTACCTTAATCCAACATAAGACACACTATTTACCTTAGACTGGAATAATATTATTTGCCTAAATATATGCTCAATTTCTTATATACATTGTAATCTGATGCGTCAAACACCCTTTATATATTCTCCCTCCACATTATGCCTTTTTTTGAGTTGAGTAATGCTATTTATAGTGAGAATTATCGGTGGACATCCTATGTAGATTAAAAAACTAAAAAACTAAGGGATTAGATATATACCACATAGTGATGACTACTCCTTACTATGAGTAGCATTATTCTTTTAAGCCTACTATCTAAAGTCTAAACATTCATTTTTCTTCAAACTTATTTTCTATAAAATAATTTTGTATGTAAATTCAAAAAAATTTCCTACTTTTTAACTTCACATTTTTCAAAAAATAACTATTACAAAACTCTTTCTTTTCACAAATAATTGGGCTCAAACAAATCTCGATAAGTGTATTTTATACACTTATTGGGAGCCTAAAGTAGTGATATTTGGTAGTGCTTTTGACAAAATATGTTTTAAGTTGTTGTATTTTATGTTATATAAGTAAAATTTAATGGTTAAACGATGAATTGAAAGATAGAAGCTAAAATTGGAGAAATCCAAAGTGTGGAGACTGAATTGTAATATTCTAACAATTGATTCCAGACCATAAAATGAATATTGAAGATGTCACGGGTTCAATTGGATGCAATTAAAAATTAAAGGACCGAAATTACAAGAGAAAATGATTTAAAACAAGTGAAGATTCAAACTTGATTTTTGGGCAAAGAAGAGAAGGTGCAGGTGGAGAATTATCAAGAAACCATTGAAGAGATTTAAGATTTTAAAATTCATCATCATCTTCTCAATTTATCAAAAATTCGAGTTATTTTTTCCAATTAAATATAATTTCTTATAATTTTGATATGTTAGGCTAGTTTTATACATTGTTAGAATAAGATGAATCCTTGTTATGATATTTTTAGTTTTAAATTAATTATTTTTTAATTTAATTTGTTTTGATTTGTGGTTGTTTATTATAATTTTTATCGTTATTTTTAATTGTTTGATCACCAATTAAATTGTTAGTTGATTTTATTATTATCCAGATAAACAATAGGGTTTAAGCACAATATAATAAATATTATGAAGTTTGATAAATGATAGAGATATATTTTTATGCTTTATATGATTTTAATAGGTGTTCTAACACTTGTTAATACATTTATCATGTTTACACCTTTCATCGAAAGATAGAAGGGTCACAAGAGCGGAATAAACTTAATCGCTTTGGAGAGGGGCTTTCAATTAAATTAGGAATTGACCAACATGAATGGTTTCAAATTATCTTTTTAATTATTACACTAAAAATGGAATACCAATAAGGATTCGACATCTTAGCAATACATTTAACATATTTGACAAAAACCTTCATATTTAGCTTAGTTAATATAATTAGATCTTGTAGTATAAACACTCAAACAAATTTGGCAATTCAATTAAGGTTGAAATTAATTGACACTAGATTAAGTACATAATCATCGTGGTTTCGACACTTATTCACTACTTTATTACTTCTTCACTATCTCGGTCACTTGCGGAAAATCAAACGATCAGACTATTATATTTCATTAGTTTTAATTAATTGTAACTTTAATTTGAATTTTTATTGCTTATATAGTTAGTTTCATTTATTAGAAAAATATTATAGTTTTTTCTATTTTTCGTTCTCAGGACTTTGTATACAAAGTTTGAGACATGATGGATCTTGTTCAATTTGATTTGAAAACCAACCGAACGTTCAGGTTGAGGAGAAGAAGACAATTAGAAGCACACCAAAAATAGCAAGCAAAATCAATGATAGAAAACATACAAAATCTGGTGGTTGTTGAATTGAATGTAAATGCAGCATATCAAAATGTAGCTGCAAGCAATGAAAACGCAAGGTTGATTGAGGAATACATGGTTCCATCGATTGTGGAAAGCCCATTCAGCATTGTGTATCCAACATTTGATTAGTCAAATTATCACTTGAGGACGTATGTAATTAATATGTTCCACAATGCACTACAATTCCTTAAGAGAGCTAGTGAAAATCCCAATGCTCATATTTCGAGATTTTTAGACATGTATGCAACAATAAAATATCCCAGAATTTCAAGTGAAACAATCCGCCTAAAGCTATTCTCTTACCCTTTAAGAGACTCAGTCAAGAAACGATTGGATACTTTACAGCATCACCAGTTGGCACAGTGTGCCAGAAATTCCTCAATGAATATTTTCCACTCAACGATTGTTAGGTTGAGGGATCAAATCACTATATTCTTTCAGCTTGACTTGGAGTGCTACTATGAGACTTGAGAAAGGTCCACAGAGTTGCTTTCTCAGTATCCATAGCATGGGCTACAAAAATGGCTTCAAGTGCAATATTTTCTACATTGGGCTAAATTCGAAAAGTAGGGCTAACATTGACTCTGTATTTGATGGTTAGATAAAAAAAAGGAACAGCAAATCAAGTCTATCAGATCATAGAGGATCTTGCATTTACTAGTGCACTTTGGCCATCAGAAAGATCAAGTGGGAAGAAAGTGGCTGGAATCTATGAAATTGACTCACTAATAGCGATCATAGCACAATTAGCAGCATTAGCTCAAAAAGGTAGGTCGAGTAGTCGGACCAGAATGTAAGCATTGCGGGGCTAGTCAGGAAAGTGTGGACCGTAATGTGGGAAGTCCTCCTGCTCAATCAATTGAAGATGTAAATTATATGCTGAATTTTCAGAGGCAGCAAATATATCCCTACATCAATTCATACAATCCAGTTTGGAAAAATCTAGTATTTGAAATCTCACAAATCCGCAACCCAGCGTCAGTCATGATGGGCAATACAATTTTATATTCACGACCCTTAACCTCATTATCAGCAACATATTATGAAATGATCATTTCTTGAAATAATTTCTATGGATTTCGTGGTATGGGTGTTGACGATGTGTGGTCAGGGAGATGATTCTTGATTTTCTAGATTAATTGATTTGGGGTTTTTGATTTTGGCTTGAAGAATGTTAGCTTATCTTTGTTATTATTAATTATTATTATTTTTTATTTTTTGGCGGGGGGGGGGGGGGGGTCGTTTGAGGTAATGGCTGAAAGTTTGAGATTTCCTCATTGTGTCCTTTTTTGGCTAGTTTTTGGAGTATTTTTTTATTTTGTTTTTTTTTTTTTTGTTTTTTTTTTTTTTTTTTTTGGGGGGGGGGGGGGGGGGGTCGTTTGAGGTAATGGCTGAAAGTTTGAGATTTCCTCATTGTGTCCTTTTTTGGCTAGTTTTTGGAGTGAAATGGGCTGTCCAAAATAATAAAGATGAAATTAATGTGTAAGATGTCATCTTTTTGGTTTCATTTTTTACTTTGAAATATGCAGAAGTAGAATAAAAAAAGATGATGTGTATTATATGAATTATTAAATTAATATAGGTAAATCATGTAACTTTCTCAAGTAACGCTACATAGTCCCATTGGGATTGCAGCCCATTCTAAGTGGCTCTTAAATAGCATTACTCAATTTCCTCTTTACATAAACTGAACTGCAATAAATTTCAATTGGATCGTTAAACTTCAATATTAATTTCAAATTCAATCAATCTGTCAATTTTTTCTCCTAAAAATGCCCCCAGGCAACATACCTTCAGGATTCTTTCGGGTGTTTCGTGGACACCATATACAGTCTGAACCCCTACTCTAAGAGGAAGAATTCTTACTAATGGTATTCCATTCAATGTCCCATGCTGTTTTGGAACCCTTACGGCACTTTTGGTAAGGCGAGTTTGATTCTAGACAATATAAAGGGGAAAACAGTACTGCGTGCCCAATGTGTACTTGAACAAATAATCCACTACCATTATCATGGAGGTTCAATATTCCAATTTTCACAGTACAGGGCGCCTTAGCGATCTCTGGTTTGCCCATTTAATGGTCACAAGAGATTTATACAAAAAGGGAATTGCAAAAAAGACTACCCAAAATGCTATAAAACAAAGTTAGAAAAAGGTATGCAGGAAGCGCAACCGCATGAATACCATGAACTATGGACAGTAGTTCGATAAAAAGAAATACAATAGAGCAACAGTTCAGAAGCACCAACAGTGGCAGGAGAATGAAGAAGGAAAGCGACCAGTTTTGCGAATATACTCTGCCTTCTGTTCTGTTTTAGCAGCATGACAGTTTCTCTTCACCTCTGCCGCAGCCAGCTTCTCTTCAGCTTTACGACGTACAGCTGCCAGTTTGTTTATCAATATGTCTTGTGCTTTTGCTCTCATTCTTTCCACCTCCACCTGCAAAAGGCGATATCCAATGCCGTAACGAGGAACGCCAATATATGAGAAGACGAAAGATAACTAAATTCCCCACATCTACTAATAACATGCTTATTTTTAATTTGGGACCATCAACTATTCAAATTCGATTTATTGCTGCCTAGTAAATGATGAGCATGTTCCCATTACATATTTTACCCTTACTATTAGTTTATCAGTCACTATTATTAAATGTGTTCGTTATTTAATCTGTTATTTTTTGGGGCATGTCAATAATTGAAGTTGAAGAAATAAAAAAGCCGACAACTAATGGAATAAGGTAAGTGAAGCATGCCAAAGGAAAGAAAAAAATTCCAATCAAGGCATGGACAATTAAAATAATCAATAAAGGAAAAAGAAAGAACACAAGGGAAGCAGCTGCAATGACAAGTAAACTTGGAAAATAAGAAAATGAATTAAATTTGCTCTGCATGCAGCCTCAGAATTGAGTAAAAGGGAACTAACACCTGTTGAAAAGGGAGAACTCAGCACAAGAAAATGCAAAAAAGGAATTCACCGGTGCTAGAGAAAGAGAAAAAAAGAGAAGACCAAATGCAGTGCGAGCTATTCGAAAAATAATACAATTACAAACTTCTTTTATCTATACCCAGTGATATCTTCTCTCTATGTCCTCAAATCCCACTATATATTTATAAATTTCTTGAACCAACAGTAAGGATGAATGTAGTCAGCTAAGTGTTTGTCATGGAGATATTATTTGAAGTGAAAAATGATTTTTAGGAGAATATATGGTTAAAATGCATGGAAAAATTATGGATTCATATGCAAAATTATTTTATTGAGAAAATGTGTAGTTAAAAATGAGCTCAAGGAAAAAGTATTTTCAAACAAGCCACGTTAAACAAACTCCAAGTAGTTTTCATTTATTGAACTAATTAATACTATTCACAAGATTACACTTTTATGGTTATGATAATTAAATTGAAAACTTTTATTCATTAATATCATGTAACATTAATCGATTTCCCCACCTTTTTTTCTTTGGAAGTGGTACGCGGGAGTTCTTAAGATGTTATATATCATTTTATTCTTTGTTTTCTTTTCAAAGGATTTGATACAAAGGATGGGAAATGCTCAAGGCAATCTATTGAATGAAAAGAAGAAAGACCCATTCAAGATTGTTTATTATTGACTTAATTGCTAAACCTATGAGACGACAATGGAATATCGCCGTTCCTCTGGTGAGACCTGACCAGGGACAACACCTAAGCATCCAAACTTTTACCATGAAATTTTTAAGTTACCTTTCATATTGTTAAACTTCATTTTTGAGTATTTCTGGTACACTATTTTGGGAAGAGCCTTATATAGCATATTTTTACTTTCGGAGAATGCATTATAATATTTCGTTCCTGTGGTGGGACCTGAACGTGGAAATTTTTACCACGATATTTAGAGTTCCTTTTCATATCGTATTCTATATTCGACTCCATTTTTGTGTAATCTGGTGCATTATTTTGGGAGGAACCTTATATAACATAATTTAATTCAAAGAATGCATTAAAATATCCCTGTTCTCCATTTTTCTTCTCTTAATTTCCTACATGCTCTTTCTACTTCCAATTCAGTTTTCACCCAGGCATAGGGCTGGGCAAATCTCCCGAACCGAACCGACCGAACCGAACCCGAACCGAACCGATCCGAACCCGACGGTTCTTGTCAAATTAAATACCCGAACGGGTATCTGAATTGAGAACCGACGGGTACGGTTCGGTTCTCGGTTCTAGACCAAGAACCGAAGAACCGAATAAGAACCGAATCTTTCTATTTTTTTTATATTGAGTAAATCAAATTATTTTAATTTTAATTTTTTCTAAACAAATTAACAAATCAATGATTTCTAAATCCAAATTTTTGGCCCAATAATTTGTTTCATTTCTAATTTTTTAATTTTTGGCCCAATTACTCATTTTATTATTTCATTTCTTAGCCAAACAAGATCAAATATACTAAATAACCCTAAACACCTACAATAAAGTGCATAACGTTGTCTCGACTCTCGCACTCACATTTGCAACGTGGAATATGGTCTTTAAAATGGAGGAGAGTGTTAACTTAGGATTCTTTTAAAAAATAAATAACATAGCTTGGACCAGTTCTAAGAATAACTGTACCACTGTAATTCAATTTAAATAGGGATTTGTGTGGAGGCCTGAAACAATAGTCAAGTGGAATTCATAAATGTAGTGTCATCCTTTGCAATGATAATATTTTCATTTGGTCCTGACTGGATAATAGGTTAACAGAAACCTGACAGTGGTGGCAAGTATCAAACAACAACTATGACAAAAAGCAAAGCATCAATTTTGAGCTCCGTACTAGGCCCCTGTTTGGTATTGATTTAAATCAGATTTTAATCTAAGTCAAAGTCAAACAATCAATATTAACCACATATTTCATGGGTCCCACAACTTTTCAACCATGCATTTTAAAAGCTTCTATCAAAATCTATTAAAAATCTAATTTTAATCGCTTCCAAACAAGGGCTAAAAGGTAAGGCATTCACTCCGGCAAGGGTATATAACATGTCTGGGGTGGCTTATCTTAAAGATAAGCTCCAAATATGTAGCTTACTTTGGCTTATTTTAAATGTAGGTGGGTCCACATTAAAAATAATCCTCGCATTTGTTGCTTATATTTAAGATAAGTCACCCCACATAATTGAATTAGGGCTCTTTTGATATGGCTTTTGCTTCATGTAAAAGAGTTTTCTGATAAAATTATTTCAATTTTTATTTGAAAACTAATTTTTAAAAGAGCTTCCTATTCCAAAAGTGATTTTAAAGGAGGTTGGTCGCTCTTCTAACTAGATTAATCACTTTCATAAAATTAGTCAAACAGGTCCAAAAGCAACCTTTAGCTATTAAAAGCTCCTTTTTTATTTTCAAAAATCATGCCAAATAGCCCTTAAAATGCACATGGAAAGTAAAACTTGAAATAAAGAAACAAACAGCGTGTATTAACAAACAAATCTTTAATGGCAGAAAAGACAATGTACCTCAATTTTCCTCATCTCAGCTTCGGTCTTTGCCTTCTGATGATCTTCCCATGCCTGTATATTGATTTCTTCACGATTGAACCTGAAAAAACAGATATATTATAGCACAACCAAGCTAAAATAACCACCCTATCGCCTAACCAATCTTGATGAGTTACAGATATTAGGCACCTTTTGAATAGAAACATGCAGAGAATTCAATGTCACTAGATCACTTTCTCAAGATTTAATGGGACACTTGATTAAAATAGAGTTAAAGCATGAATTTTGATTCTTGGTGATGTGCAATGAATGATATGATCATAAGAAATCATAAAATAACCTGGCCATATACTTGGCTTTCTCAGCTACTTCCCAAGCTTCTGCACGAGTTTCAACGACACCTGAAGCTGGTTGTTCTCTTTGTAGAGCATTTTGTGAACTAGAAACATCCTTATCTTCATTTTCTTTCCCAGCCCATGCGGCAATATTCATCTTACCCAGTTGAGTTCCAAGATTCATAATTTCCCTCCGAGTTTTCACTTGTAGCTCCTTTTCAGACAACTCTTTTTGGTTAGAACCCAATGGATCAGTTTGAGGATCAATAGGAGCGACAACAGTTGAAGCTCTTCCGGGAGACGATGGTCGAGAAGGAGTTGGGCTTCGTGTAGGAGTTGTTGCCCTCACAGGTGTTCCAGATCTGGAAGGTTCTTGGCTAGCAAGTGGAGTCATTTCTGTGCCCATATCTCTCATTGATATGGATCTAGCAGTTGGTGGCGGAATAAATGCAGTTGCACCATGGATAGAAACAGATGAATCGTGGCGGTTCAGGTTAACTGCAAACAGACGATTATAATTAGTCAAGTTCTAAAAATTCATCATGTGGGTGTGGAACTAATGTGTTCACATTATCAAAACACTGAGATTTCAAATTTATAATTTGTCATCATTGTTGAAACAAAATGATCAACATAGTAATTGATAAAAGCAAGAAATTAATGTGCAGAGAAAATCAATGTTAAGAATCTAACGAGAATTTGTAATGCTTACAAGTGTTTTTAAGAAATTCCAATTTTGCACATAATCTCCAAGTACCATGGCTCGAGCTCAAGATTAGTACAAACAAAGAAAGTAACAATGCAAGAAAAATGCAAAACAAAAGGAATAAATCAAGATTTCTGGAATCCCTATCATGAAAAGGCCGTTGTAACACCCCAGATTTGCACCAGTAACCGTTATTGTTGAATTTCGGACCAAAAAGTGATAGTTTGAAAGTTCAGGGTCCAAACTGTAAATTTCAAAATTTTCAGTTACTGGGGCCTGATGAACAGTGCCGTGAAAGGTGAATTTCAGGTTAGACTTTCAAATTTTCAAAATTTACAGATTGGTCCCTTAACTTTTGCTTTTCAGTCCTAAAATAGAAAATCATGGCTAATAGTGGGAATCCAGGGTGTCACAGCTGTCAACGTATAAAACTTCAAAACAATAGTGTACGCAAAATCATCTATAGTTAGAAAACAAGGGTACAATCAAGATCAAGAATAAGAATATGAAAATAGTGATCAAAATATTTTGTTGAGAAAAAAATCAGAAAACCATGACCAGAAAGTGGTACTACTACAACGAGCACAAATTCTACGTGCTATCTGCACTTGGTTGCCTGTAAACAAGGAATCCAATATAAAAACTGGACATTTAGGCATGTATACATAGAAACATGAAATATAGATATTGAGATGTATGATATGATAAAACAACACAAAAATTAAAGAGCAACAAAAGAGTCTTACTCGATTCTTTTACACGATTTTCAATCACCACTGGCTTGCTAAATGATTCACTTGGATACGGGCCAACCTCCCAACTAACAGACTTCTGCCCTCCAGTCTCTTTAGTAGCATGACTCCGGTCAATCCCTTTAGTATCTGGCTCCTCAGTAGTCAATAATCTCTGATCAGGCACTTCAACAACCACCTTAATGGGATGTTGATTACTGAGTCCAAAATGAACTAGCTTTCGTGATCCAACACCTTGATCAGCCAGTTCGATCTTTGATATATTAGATGCAGGGCTTGCTATCCACTTCTGCGCATCTTCCCATTTTGAAGGGGCAGGTTTCGAAAAAGAAGTAAGAGGCACTCTTTGAAAAGCCCACGCAGACTGTGACCCCGTACCATCAAGTCCACTATCATAATCCACTTCAACATTGTCTGGAGACCTGATTCTTGAACTACCCAGAGAGAAATTGCTCACTCTACCTTCGCCAATCGTCGCCAAGGAATTAACTCTCTCTGAAGTCATAGCTCTCACAAAACTCAATTACAAAACCATACACTGAACCAAAAAAAAAAAAAAAAAGCATCTAAATTAGAACATTTTTCTTGGAATTGAGTTAATCATTAAGGTTCATAACAATAAGAATTATTGAAAGAAATTTTGTTTTTCTTCATAAATTAAATAACACAAAAGTCCCAGTTGTCTGATTGCTTATGAAAATAACAGAGAATCCATTTTTTATTTTGGTTTTTCATTACATTTATATGTGATGTGAAACAGAAAAGGAAAAATAGAAAATCCAATGAGTTCAAGGATCTTACTGCAACAAAAAAAGTGCACAATTTTAATAAATGTGGGGTGGTGAGATTTGACCTCACTACATTTTTATTATGTCTTCGACAATACACAAGTACACTAATAGGAATCAAGGAACAAACAAAGCAAAATACCAACACATTCTATACCACCCAAGCCTCCCAACAAAATTAAATATAAAAGGAACAAAACAGGAATTTCTGATTAGAGTGCAGGGTACAACTACGATAGCATGCGATATAGAAAACCCATGTTCGACTCGGTTTGAACTTTTAGGATTCGATGATCAGGCTGGGTTTGAAAAGTGAAAACATTGGAAATACCTGAATCTTGTATCTTAGAAACATGGAAAATTCAACGCCCGGTTCATCATCTATCTTGTTTTGGGTTCTTTTCGACTACTGAAGAGAAAGTAAATTAGCAAAAGAAATACGTACCAAATGCATTGAAATGTTGGAAGGGAAAACGATAGCTCTGGGAATGCAGATTTCACGGATCCAAGTTGATTTCTTCAAGCAACACAAGACCAGAAAGGACAAGCAAAAACTGTAAAATCTCTGTATTGAAAACAAGATGAAGTGAAAATGAAATGTCCTCCTGTCGCTTTCAACACGCGAACGTCGTTGGGGAAACAAGTGTAAAGAAAACTAGGTAAATTTTATATTAGTCATCACTAAAATTTCACCAAAATTTCAATCGAACCATTAAACTTTAATTTATCTCAGTTGGATAACTAATTTTAAATTTAATTTTAAACTTGGGAAAATTGCAGCAGCTGTACTAAACCTTTCTTTTATTAGCAGACTTTGCCCAAACCTTCATTTTGTGCCAGCGAAGGTCTCAAACCTTTCATAAATATGCAGCCGAAATCCAGATGGATGGAATCCATCCATTTCACCGTTAGTTGACCAAAGAACTGACTTTGATTCCAAATTTGACCATATTAGTAAGGGCAAAATAGTAATTTGTATATTATCCCATTAATTAAATAAGTTAAATAGATAAACCATAAATAAATAAAAAAATGAAAGAAAGAAAATGTGGGCATCATCTTCTTCTTCCCCCTGCTCGATTTTTCCTTTTTTTTCATGATACGTTGTTCGAAAAAAAAAAAATTTTGACCCCACAGTTCAAATGGTCTGGGTCCGCCCCTGCCTGTAAACAAGGAATCCAATATAAAAACTGGACATTTAGGCATGTATACATAGAAACATGAAATATAGATATTGAGATGTATGATATGATAAAACAACACAAAAATTAAAGAGCAACAAAAGAGTCTTACTCGATTCTTTTACACGATTTTCAATCACCGCTGGCTTGCTAAATGATTCACTTGGATACGGGCCAACCTCCCAACTAACAGACTTCTGCCCTCCAGTCTCTTTAGTAGCATGACTCCGGTCAATCCCTTTAGTATCTGGCTCCTCAGTAGTCAATAATCTCTGATCAGGCACTTCAACAACCACCTTAATGGGATGTTGATTACTGAGTCCAAAATGAACTAGCTTTCGTGATCCAACACCTTGATCAGCCAGTTCGATCTTTGATATATTAGATGCAGGGCTTGCTATCCACTTCTGCGCATCTTCCCATTTTGAAGGGGCAGGTTTCGAAAAAGAAGTAAGAGGCACTCTTTGAAAAGCCCACGCAGACTGTGACCCCGTACCATCAAGTCCACTATCATAATCCACTTCAACATTGTCTGGAGACCTGATTCTTGAACTACCCAGAGAGAAATTGCTCACTCTACCTTCGCCAATCGTCGCCAAGGAATTAACTCTCTCTGAAGTCATAGCTCTCACAAAACTCAATTACAAACCATACACTGAACCAAAAAAAAAAAAAAAAAAAAAAAAACAACAAAAT